ATATATATATATATATATATATATATATATATATATTATATACTATATATATATATATATATATATATATATATACATATATATATATATATATACATTATCTATATATATATATAATATGTAACTTCGAATAAATTCTGAACTCAGATGGCGGTCTACTCCCTTTTTGTTTTTTCCAGAGCGATACCTAGACTCTGTGGTGAAGATTTTCGCGGTGACTGTCAGCCCTAACTACATACAGCCATGGAGTGTAAAGCCACAGCGAGAGTCTACAGGCTCTGGGTTTGTGATCGAAGGTAGGTATACTTCACTGCGTCGTTGGCCGATGTGTGTCAGTCGATGGTGTGATAAGAAGCCAAGCCTAGTTAACCAAGCTAAGGTAAGCCTAGTTAACCAAGCTAAGGTAAGCCTAGTTAACCAAGCTATGGTAAGCCTAATTAAATAAGCTATGGTAAACCTAGTTAACCAAGCTATGGTAAGCCTAGTTAATCAAGCCATGATAAACCTAGTTAACCAAGCTATGGTAAACCTAGTTAACCAAGCTTTGGTAAGCCTAGTTAACCAAGCTATGGTAAGCCTAGTTAACCAAGCTATGGTAAGCCTAATTGATCAAGCTATTGTAAACCTAGTTAACCAAGCTATGGTAAGCCTAGTTAATCAAGCTATGGTAAACTTAGTTAACCAAGCTATGGTAAACTTAGTTAACCAAGCTATGGTAAACTTAGTTAACCAAGCTATGGTAAGCCTAGTTAACCAAGCTATGGTAAGCCTAGTTAACCAAGCTATGGTAAACTTAGTTAACCAAGCTATGGTAAACTTAGTTAACCAAGCTATGGGAAACCAAGTTAACCAAGCTATGGTAAACCTAGTTAACCAAGCTATAGTAAACCTAGTTAACCAAGCTATGGTTAGCCTAGTTAACCAAGCTTTGGTGCTCGCTATCCGATTGCGCAGTTTATGTGAAAGGGCGAAGGTCGTATAAGCTACTTCAATATATCCTAGAACAGCTACTTCAATGTATGCTAGAACAGCTACTTCAATGTATGCTAGAACAGCTACTTCAATGTATGCTAGAACAGCTACTTCAATGCATGCTAGAAAAGCTACTTCAATGCATGCTAGAACAGCTACTTTAATGTATGCTAGAATAGCTACTTCAATGCATGCTAGAACAGCTACTTCAATGCATGCTAGAACAGCTACTTCAATGCATGCTAGAACAGTTACTTCAATGCATGCTAGTACGCTTTGTATGCGACTTGCACGTTCTCAGTTACAGTACAACAGCACCCCCAGGCGTCTTCGATGCAGGCTGTTGCGATAGTCGTAGATTCACTGGTCACAAGTTAATCCTCCGCACACACAGTGGCGTGCTGGCTATGGGTGGGTGCGTTCGTGCAATGATACCTGTGACATGCTATACTGTATGCTCGAGTATGGTGACCCATCCATACAAACGGGATGGACCCATATGCGTAGTCTAGTATCTGTGAACAACTGAGTTGACCCTGAATGGACCGTAGGGTGTACTCGAGTGTTTGTATGTACGCGTATGAGCCTATTCATAGCAGTATGTGCACCCACACAATCACATACCGTCTGACAGTATTTAGATTCTACTTTGAAGGTTATAGTGCCAGCGTTTAGCTATGGCGCGGATGGCATATGCTTCTCTGAAGCTCGGGCAATGGGTTATTGCAATCGTCTGTGTGTACAAGAAGAAGGTAGTAAGCTCTGCCACTGATCTGGGCCAACACTGTAACAGGCTGCAATTGATTGTGCACGCAAATCAGCAGGATCAGATGTATCCACCTATGGACTTCTCAGTTGCTAAATCAGCAGGGAACCAAGGTCTAAGGTGTATATACAGTGTACGCTCACATGTGAAACACCTCAATTGACAAAACTAAATCACATGGTGTCACATCCACACTTATACTCGGTTTCCTCGAGGACCTCGAGGACGCTCACGTCATCGCCGATGTTTCCTGTGTCCGAAATATGATTCAGAGTTACTATCCAAGCCAAGTGTGGCATATCTTAACACTCATAGTTAGCAATATCTTGACACTCTTAGTTATCATTCTTTAACACTCATAGTAAGCGTTCTAAAGTACTGCGCATTCAGGACTCGCCCAAGGGTCCCCCTACCACTCCTACGGGCATACATATTTTCAGTAGTACTGTCCTCTGTGTGTAGGTAGGGTCTTCCTATGACTCCTATTGGCATAGGGATACCCATCTGCAGTAATACTGTCCTCTGTGTGTAGGTAGGGTCTTCCTGAGACTCCTATGGGCATAGGGATACCCATTTTCAGTAGTACTGTCCTCTGTGTGTAGGTAGGGTCATCCAACCAACACTTATGATCACAATACATACGCGAACGTCCCAGATTCACAATGCTACTAGTGTGGCATATTAGAATTGTGACTTCAGTTTCACACCCGCACTTCACTAATCTGTAATCCTCATCCCGTTACAGGCCGTCGCATCCTTACTAATGCTCATGTGATCGCTAACGGAACCTCCATTATGGTACGCAAGCATGGGTCACCCAAGAAGTTCCCGGCGAAATGTGAACACACAGGCATGTTTCCATAAAAGGTGTTTGATGTCATATGATCTATATATATTTATATATATATGTATTTATTAATATAGTAATATATTAATAATTGTATCCTTCTAGTATTAAATTATTATGAGGTTGACTAGAATTGATGTAGACAGCAGTTTGTTGCGCCTGTTCGTTCCAATACACGCGTACATTGTAATATATATATATATATATATATACTGATTCGGTACACATACACATAATGATAGGCCACGAGTGCGACCTTGCCATACTTACTGTCGACGACGATCAATTCTGGGAAGACCTGCCCCATTTAGAATTGGGCGACTTACCTGAATTACAGGACAAAATTACTGTGGTAGGCTATCCCGCAGGGGGGGATACTGTGAGTCTCAGGTATTGAATGTTTATTTATACATATATATATATATCTGTGTGTGTGTGTGTTTGTGTGTTCGTGTGTTTATATATACATATAAATATGAATATATATATATATATATATATATATGCGTATGTATATATATGTATATGCATATATATTTGTGGGAGTGAGTGTATGCATTTATGTATCTATTTGTATAAATATATCTACATATATGTATGTATATATATAAATATATGTGTGTGTGTGTATAAATATTTATATTTTGTTATATTGTTATATGTACATGTCTGTTTGTATATGTATATATACGTTATATATTTATATATATATATTGTTATATATATATATATATATTTACATATATATATATATATATATATTCTAGTGTTTACTTTATGGTTTGTGCGCGTTTCTTAAACCGCACTTGTCCCGAATTGGAAGGAGACGACGATAGGTGTCGTCTTGTATTTTGGTGGTTGAACATCACTAGTACGTTACATCTTCCACACAGAGTAGGTAGAATGATCATTTCAGGCCTGTCATAAGGCGTAACATCCCCTCCGGTTCTTCTTCTTCATCTACCCTGACCTTTACACATCCATTCCTCGCATATACCATCATACACCCATATAAGAACCTATATTTAGCGACATACGTTTGTTCTCTCACCTTGTTCTATTTATAGCGTCGGGGTGGTGTCACGCGTAGAGTTACAACAGTACACGCACGGTGCTGCTAATCTACTAGCCATTCAGATAGACGCAGCAATCAACCCCGGCAATTCAGGGGGTCCGGCCTTCTTCGGAGACCGGGTGAGTCAATTCCCGGCAACGTTGCGCATGTGCAAAGACATCCAGGTTGCATCCTACGTGCGTGGCAGATCATTTGCATGTAGGCGGGTATACAGATATACGTGCGAGTGTGTATGCGTATATATGTATGCGAATATACATATGCGTATATACATATGCGTACATATATAAATATATGCTTATATATAGACCGTGCCTTGTGCTGCTGCAAACTGCTTCTGCCGATGCTGTATCGTCATTCGTCTGATATTCTGGTACCTTTGCGTGTGTCTGTGCAGGTTGTGGGGGTGGCTTTTCAGCATCTCCCAGGCGCAGAGAACATCGGCTACGTCATTCCCGTTCCGGTGAGTCGTTTAACGCGTTCACACGCTCTTTCAGTACCGCACTTTTATCTTCCGTGTATTCCAGAAGACAATCACCCCATTGCGCTCCGATTGCTTAGTGCTACGGTTCCTCTCGTACTGAGTCGCATTACTATTGCAACACTAAATCATCAGTAGGGTTGTATTATACCTACAGTTAGGCGTGTCTATATTTAGATCGCTTCTGACGACTAGCCAGCCGTCGACGACGAACGATGCCCAATACTCAGAAGATTGTTCTATTAATAGAATACTCTGAAGATTGTTCTATTAATAGAATACTCAAAGATTGTTCTATTAAAGAGTACTCGGAAGATTGTTCTATTAGTAGAATACTAAGAACATTGTTCTATTAATGGAATACTCGGAAGATTGTTTTATTAATAGAATACTCGGAAGATTGTTCTATTAATAGAATACTCAGAAGATTTAGAACGGTACTCTATTCGTAGACAGATTCGAGACACTCGCATTGTTCAAAAAAGGGAAATGTATTACATACACAGGACCCAGACGTTAATACCTACCTACTGTACTAATATGGTATCCGTGAATCTCTCTCTGTATTCCCAATCAGATAATCCAACACTTCCTGAATGACATTGAGAGGCACGGCAAATACACTGGTGAGTCCATAACACGCGTTCAGCACGTATTTACCATGCGTTTGCCTCTCCAGTGGTACGCGTTTGACTTTAAAGTGCTGCACCTGAAGTGTGTGTTCGGTTAGTTGTTTGAGGGTTGGAGCTGTCTTCGTTTCGGGCTTCTGGAAAAGTATCTCAGATTCGTTGTGGGGAGTGGCGTTGGGTGTCTATTTGCTGGGCATGCGATTAAAAACAAGGAAAATATGGACAATTACTCGAAGCACGCACATGTTCTCGTCTGATTGTGTACATTTATTTATTTATATATATATATATGTCTGTGTGTGTTTATATATATATATATATATATGTAGATATACATATATACATGTGATATCAATTTGGTGCATAAATTATACCACAAATGTATGCACCAGGATTCTGTAGGTTTGGTTTCTTTGCACAAGGCTTGGAGAACACGGGGATGAGACGATACCTCGGACTACCTGAACAGGGCATGGTATGTAGTTGTCACTTGAGAACATAGGTGTAGGTATGTGTATTCATGCGTCTACGATATGGATCAATACAGCAATATATATATATATATGTGTGTGTGTATAATGTGTTTGTGTGCGTGCGTGTGTGTATGTCTATGTCTGTGCTTATGTATATATACATATACATTTACATATTCAAGTATGTATGTATGTGTGTATATATTTTTACCTGTCTAGCTATCTATATATATATATATATATATATATATATGTATAAACTTATATATGTATATATATATATATAAATATATATATATCTGTGTGTGAGTGGGCGTGTGTGTTTTTATGTACGTGTACAAAATATATGGATATACATATTTACTATATATATATATTGTATATATATATATATATATAAATATAGATGTATATATATAAATATATATATATTTATATACGTATATTTATGAATGTGTAATATGTGTATATATATATGTATGTATGCGCATCTATCTATCTACTTGTCTATGTGTATATATATATTATATATATATGTGTATGTGTATATATATACATATATATATGTATCTATGTATGTATGCATATCTATCTATTTGTCTATATATATATATATATATTATATGTGTGTGTATGTATATATGTATGTATGTGCATGTATGTATGTACATGCATGGATGTGTATGTATATATGTATATAAATATATATATATACAGATATATATATTTACATTTCTTTTACTCATTGTGTTACATGTTGAGATTATATATACCATTGTCCATATCGTACATACACATCTTTGCTGAAAGTGTTACCTGTACATCTCTCACCTGACAGGATGGTGGTATTCTGGTAACCAGGATCCTGCCCATGTCCAACGCAGCGGAAGTGCTTAAAAAAGATGACGTCATTTTCTCTATCGACGGGATCCCATTGGCCAGCGATGGCACAATTCCGTTCCGACACAGTATGTACGCCACGATGTGACCTTGTACAACGAATACGCAATATGCGACGAATGTGACCGCTTAGATGTATATATACGACAAATGTGACCGTGTAGGTAGATGTATACGACATACCGAAAAAAATACGACAATTGTGACAGTGTAGTTATATCTATACGACATACCGAACAATATACGACAAATGTGACTGTGTAGCTAGATTTATACGACATACCGAACCCTATACGTCACCATACGACCCATCGCAGACCGCGTGCATGTCCCCCGCGTGAGATCGTTCGCCTCGGCGAGACTGGTTCATATCATTAACGCATACGTGACACTCAGTAGACCTTCTGTCCATTCACCCGCAGTAGGGTTTTAGTTTTTGTGTTCAATACCGTCTATGTGTCCTCTCGACTATGTATGTGATGTCTTGTTTCACTCATACTTCATAAAATGTATATGGTGTCTTGTGTTACGCATACTTCATGACTATGTCTGTGCTGTCTTGTACTCAGCCGACTCACTTGTCTATATCACTCACTTGACTATTACACTCACTCACTTGTCTATTACACTCACTTGTCTGTTACACTCACTTGTCTATTTTATTTACACAGGAGAGCGCATCATCTTCGACTATCTTCTGATCAACAAATACGTTTCTGACAATGTGAAGCTGCAGGTCTGGAGGGACAATGAGGTGTGTGCGAGAGAGGGTGCTTGCTTCTTTGATCGTGTATGCCTATATGCATGTGAGAGAGGATGGGTACGTTAGCTTGCGTGTGTATGTCTATATACTTATACATGTATAGGTATATATATATATATATATATGCCTTACATACATACATACATAAATGCATACATGAATTTGTATATCTATCCATCCATACGCACAAACATACATATATATGTGTGTGTGTTTGTGGGCGTGGGCATATGCCGGCACTTGACAGGATTTCGACGCAGAACTACACATACAGTATTGCATTGATTGCAATACATAAATTTACCTTGCATGTAAGTGGTCGAATCAATTTCACCTTGCTACAGCATGCAGATACGAAAACACACAAAAAAATGAGCATGTGGGCAATATCTTTGTATATACATTAACGGCATGCAAATAATCACATTTATATATATATATATATACGCCCTATATATATGTATATAGCTCTAGTATTTATAGTATATATATGTATATATATATATATTATAGTATATAGCAGCACATGATCACATGCAAATATGACGGCCAAGAGCTGACACTAGCCCGCACAATACATAGTCAATTGCGATTGTTTTAGATTCATCAGTGCTTCGTAGTGTGTGTAAGTATAGAACGCCGCTTGCAATCCCTGTGGGACAGCAAATATATTCTGATTGGATAGTAGTTGTATTCTGATTGGACGGTAGTTGTGTTGTTTGATTGGTTAGTTGGTATATTTTTAACAGGATGATAGATAAGTTCTGATTGGATAGTGGGTATATTTTGAATTGGGTTGTAAATATATGAGCTAAGAATATGCATCTACCATAGTAATCTGCACAATACATGTACACATATATTTACAATACTATACTATGCTATACTACACTATACTGTATTGTACTATACTGTACTGTATTGTACTGTACTGTAGTACTGTATTGTACTATACTGTACTGTATTGTACTATACTAAACTATACTATACTGTACTGTATTGTATTGTACTATACTGTTCTGTATTGTACGATACTGTACCGTACTATACTATACTGTACTGTATTATACTATACTGTACCGTACTATACTGTACTGTACTGTATTGTACTATACTGTATTGTATTGTACTATACTGTACCGTATTATACTAAACTATGCTATACTGTACTGTACTGTACTGTATTGTACTATACTGTACTGTACCGTACTATACTATACTATACCAATTTCCACGACTCAGGGCATACGATTCCGTGGCCACTGTTGCAGTCAGTTTACTATATACGTTACACATCTCAAGTTCCTCCCCCGTTGTTCTTGTCCTTCTCTTATCCCACATCTACCCTTGCACCTTTATTCTTATTCTGGGTGTGGTCCAGCTAAGCAACATGGAGGTGCAACTGAACCAGTTTGCACCGCTCGTGCCTGCCTACGAGTACGACAAGGCACCCTCCTACTTCATCCACGCAGGACTCACCTTCATCCCTCTGGTGCAGCCATACCTTATGGAATGGGGCGACGACTGGTATGTTCACTTATAAACGTATGTATGTAAATATATATATGTGTGTGTGTGTTTGTATGTATGTATGTATATTTGCATGTTTGTATGTATTTATGTATGCATATATATTTTGGTGTCTGTGTATTGTACATATGTACAATATATATATATATATATATATCGCATTCTAACCGGAACGAGTAGTTTTATATTCGAACACTCCCATGTACAAACCAAAAACTGCGTACCGTGCACACACTGACGCTCTAAGACACCTACAAACGAACGTATCTCTGCACATTCAAAGCCAACCACGCACAGGTGAAATATAGATAAATATACGTACATTTAAAATATATGTAAATGTATATATACACACACACACCTCACCTGAACGCACTCACAGACACTTTCATCCAAACACCTGTAGGTACAATGCCTCGCCTCGGAAACTGTCGCAGTGTGCGATCAGTGGCGTGGCTAAGCTGCCCAACGAACAGGTGGTGGTGCTGAGCATGGTGTTAGTGGACGAGATTAACTTCCAGTACCAGTCCATGGCCCAGTCACAGGCAAGTGCTTGATGTGTAGGTATATGTTTTGTACACAAATCGATGTATGTGTATACGTTTTTTAGATAAATTGATGTGTTTGATGTGTAGGTATACGTTTTGTACATAAATTGATGAGTAGGTATACATTTGTACATAAATTGATGTGTAGGTATACGTTTTGTACACTAATAGCGGGTCTGTATATGTTTATTTCCACGTCTGTATTTGAGTTTTGTGCGCAGGATTTGGCGTGGGGCTTGGATTAGGTATATGTATGATTGTTTCTGCGTGTACGTTTTAATTGAGTTGTGAGTGCCTCAGACAGCTGAGTACAGCGATCGAGCATTACAAGGCATCAATGTGGGTGAATGAGCTTAGATGAGAGTCTCATCTACCCTGAATGCGAGATCTAATCTACTCTTAATTCCTCCTTTACCGTTTGTAGGTGCTTCGATTCAACGGTGAAAAGATAAACAATCTGGCAGATCTGAAGAACAAAATGCTGGGTTGCACCGACGAGTTTCTGCGCCTGGATTTGGAAAACGAGCTGTATGTGTACATATTTGTTAGTATTTTGAATCTATAAAATGAACTATATGTGTACATGTCTATTACCATTCTCGTGGTATGTGTACAAGCGTCTAGGTATCTGCGGTCTGTTCATATGAGCTGTGTCTGTGGTGGGTACATGTATACAAGCAATGTTGTTTGATAGTAACCGTATCTGTGATCTATGATTGTGTGTGCGTACTTTGCATTGCTACACTGTGGGATTGGCGATACTTGTAGTGTGTAGTGATCTATGTCTCGCCGTAGGAGTGAGCGTATGGGGCAGCCAGCAACAGTTCTATGCATCTACTGTATGCATGCGAAAGTATCATATCTGATCTTATCCATGCCTACTTCAACTATGAAATCGGGAACTGATATTCATGTGTACTCAAACTGTAAAATCGGGAACTGATATTCATGTGTACTCAAACTGTGAAATCGGGAATGTATATCCAGATGTACTCAAACTGTGAAATCGGGAAATGATATCCATATGCACTCAAATTGTGAAATCGGGAATTAATTCGCATCTACGGCCACTAGATGTCTGAGTATATGGTATTTCTGCCAGTTGGAATAGTACAAATATGTATCAAAATTGGCAGAAACAATATGCAATCGTGACGTTTAATTTTAATATCAAATTGACATTTTCTGTTTGCAGTGTCATAGTTATGCGTCGTGACGATGCTGCTAGAGCCAATCACAGGATTCTCTGTCGGCACCGCATTAGCCAGTCACACTCACCGGTATGTACTCTGTTCATTACTTGAATATATATATATATATATATACTGTTCATTACTTGAATATATGTATATGCATATATATATATATATAGCTATAAGGATATATTTATATATGTATGTAGGTATGTATGTATATATATATGTATTTATATATATTGATATATAAATATTTATATATATATATACCAGTCGCACTCACCGGTATGTACTCTGTTCATTACTCGAATATATGCCAGTCGCACTCACCGGTATGTACTCGGTTCATTACTTGAATATATGCCAGTCGCACTCACCGGTATGTACTCTGTTCATTACTTGAATATATGTATATATATATATATATATACTATGTTCTATTACTTGAATATATGTATAGATATATATGTATGTATATATATATATATATTAGAATCAATATAATCTATATGTATGTATATATATATATATATAAATGTATAGATATATATATATATATGTGTGTGTGTGTGTATAAATGTAAGTACGTATGTATGTATGTGTATATATGATATCCATATATCTATATTTGTCTTTATATTTATATATATGATGTCCATATATCTATATTTTTCTTTATATTTATATATATATATATGTGCGTGTGCGTGTACGAACATGGGTAAATATACTTAATTTATCTCAATCATAGACGGATTCGTATGTTCATCCAATATATATATATATATATAATCCACATATGTAGGTGCACATGTGCAAAGACACACAATGGCAGTTCAAGGTAATACATGTCCAGGCGTATATTCAATTGTTTTATCGATTGCTGATATAGGGTTGCGTCTCTATATCTTACTTGATCGCAAGTCCGCCATTGATTGTACTATCCATCCAGCCATATACACTACCGAGTTTTAGTGTTTCTGTACACTACCGAGTTCAATATTTCTGTACACAACCGAGTTTCAGTCTTTCTGTTCCCTACCGAGTTTTAGTCTTTCTGTACACAACCGAGCTTTAGTCTTTCTGATTTCGACCGAGTTTTAGTCTTTCTGACATTCTCATCCAGAGTCGAACATATGCGCATGAGGTATGCTCAGTGCAACTATCGTTTACCACGAGCGTGTGAGCTCTGCGTGCACATTCACAGGGTTTTACTATATCCAAATACGGTTTTACTATATCCAAATATGGGGGGGGGTTTTGTCCGCATGCGCTCCAGATTTACTCACGAGAGCCGGCCAGCTTTTTTGTTGTTGTTCTTGTATTCACGAGTGTCTCACTTTGACATCACTTTTACCATTGCAACCGTAGGATCTGGCCGACAGCGAATCGGCAGACGCGGGATAGACAGCTCGACCGAATCCCATACAGCAGTCCTAAGGCTGTAGGCATAGACGTGAAACCCCACCGCCACAACAGATTCACACTATCATAGTATCTAGCCAAGCCATGCTACGTACGACATACAAGAAGTGAGCCGGGCTATGTAGGTAGTTCTAAGTAGCTGTGTGTAGTTATCCGAGTGGAGCAGGTGGTTTAGGTCGTCCGCACTATTTAGGAGAGTGTGGCAGGTAGGTAGGGATAGAGGCGCTAAGAAGTACCTGTCAGGGCTTACGAAATGGGTACATACAACACATACAACACAGAGTACTGTAACCACGACAACAGTACTACGCACACATGGTAGTCAATGACTGAAGCACACCTGCTGTAGGCCAGTGCTGTGTGTGCACGCTACAGTTGTATGGTCGATGCACCTATCCGGTGCACCCTGGGACCATTGAGGACTGGTCACCAATGCAATTGTAGGGCACTATCCGTTGCCAGGCAACGGGGTGTGTTACGCTATAGTTGTGTGTAGACTATTAAGAATCACACGTATCATGCTCCTCCCTTCACGCTGTGCTGGGTCTGAACCTGGTTTGGCCTGCACCTAGACTGCACCAGGTTTACGAGCTTGAAAGCGCGACAAAGGTAACATCGGTGTACTTGCCGGCGGACGCTTCCAGTTATCTGAAACATCCATCGTACGTGTGCTGGCGAACTCGAGCAATCGCTTGTGCATGGAGCTGTGGGGTGGTCTAATCGCGCACGGGTTGGACTAAGCAGTGCCTACTGTCCTACCTACCAAGATTTCCTACCTACCAAGCTTTCCACCTATCCCTACCTACTGCGGCGGCGGTGTGTGGGTATACTGCAATGCTTGCTTTAGATGCACTGACAGTAGTACTGGATGGTAACTGCGGGGTGATGGACAGTGCCAAACCAGTGGAGCACTATGCCATTGTTGGAATGGGTTATTTAAAAGGTTAGTAACGCGGTCTGTTGAGCTGATCCCGTATTCTTTGGAGCGGATCTTACTGGTGAAACAGCGAGCGGTATAACTTGTTCGCGACTCAATTTCTGTACGTAGCTACAGTAAGGGCCTTGATCAAAGCGTATATCTCACCCAACAGCACAGCCTACGTCGCCACGTAGGAACGACAAGTGGCCAATAAGATGTGTGATTTTAAGAGTTTAGACCAATCAGAACACGTCAAATGGATCAAACAAAGGTTTGCATCAAGCCACAAGCGTGCCTATAAACTGCCTATATCAGATTGAAGGAGTGGCAATTGACATTCTGGTCGTCGCATGGTGTATTATATCTAACACCTCAATACACGACACTCATTGCCTAGCGATACTTTGTTTTTGTTTTTGTTTTTTTTAAAGTAGAGCGAGAGAGAGAAACAATTCTACTTGATCAGATGTAAATATATACCTTAGATTCAGCTTTTATAAAATCATATGTGCACACCCTAGATTTAGCTTGACCATATGTACATTCGCTAGATTATTTAGCTTTTGTATTCTCCTCTCGAGTCACTCTCGAGATACAATTTGTAAATAGAATTGCATGAATACGTACCTGCCTGATGCATTTAAAAATTATTTTGTATTTTCAATATACATATAATCAAGGCATGTTCCTTCACGTTTACACAGTCATGTAAAACATGCTGACGCAGAGCAATAATAACAGCTTTAACAACAAATTACTTCACCCATATATACACAATGCGAGGAATAGGTATTAAGTGTTTGTGTGTAGTCTTCTAGAGCAATCTGCGCGATAGAAATCAAAGATAGCGCAGGTTTGTAGGCCAATATGCGACCATCAATCCAACAATAACACGTCAGAGGATGTGTTTAAAATGAAAGCACAATACAAGCAATAGTTCATGACAAGAGGCATACTCGATGCAATACACAATCCTAACGACAATTCTTCATGGCGGCTTGGACACCAATGTGCGAGAAACGATCTTCATGTCACGTGAAGGCTAAGTGCAGGCGATCTCGCTTTCTACTTGTTCACGTTTACGCTTGTACATAGACAGCGCACATTGTTTAAGTCATGCATGCTGAATTTCCCCAGGCATATCTTCCACCGGCCTGCACACCAGCGCTATGTAGTTGTATAGATGTGTTCTATCAGCAAAAGGTGAGTTAAAGGAGAATTCCCACTCGCCGTGATTTTTGTAGTATAATTTAAAATGAGTTGTTGCTGTATACTGTCGTTCACAGTTGATTTATTACCTGGTGTGTACCCACTTATATAAGATGGAATATACAAGCCATAATTTATATTAAATCCAGTGCTTAATGTAATTTTACAGGTATGTGCCGATAATAGGAGTGTTTCTAAAATCGTGGTTCTGGGAGATTATAGATAGGGTTTTCCAACGCACTCCATATGATTTTGATCTGTTGTGACTATGAATTACAGGGCTGCTAGATTAGACACAGTGTATTGCTGGTTGTGCGATAATCACTAGTTCACGCACATTGCCTCGTATTATACCGCTCGCAAAATACCAGATAGTCAGCAATGTGGTATGCCGTATCCTGTATATTGTACAGTCAACGCTATACAATGCCCTCACCGGAACTACTCTGATTTATAGTAACCCTTGGGTGGATGTGTATCGAGTATTCACCATTGTTAACGTTCCGTAGATTTGAAACACCATCTGAGCAACCATTGCAGTAGATCTAATCCACTGTCTGGCTAAAAACTATCGACCATACTTAAGGCATACCTTCGTTGGTAGCTCGAGGGGATTTAAATTCACAACTTTACAATTGCAGTGTAACCTATCTCTGGGATGTACAGTAACATTCCGATGTGGACGAAGCTACAGTGCTCTCTAAAACTTGTTCAAAGACGTGTTTCTAGTCTGCATCATCTGTCTCGATCGTAACAGCCCAGAATGATGAGACGGTACACGTCATTTGCTACAGGGAGATACGTTTAAGTATTGGAGCATTACGCCTTTGTTTGTATTCGCTTCACCGACTGCCACTCTCGTAAGCTCTCGTGGATCGATTTGGGTTGGGACTCCATGAAGACGAAGACGACTATGCACACTACTACGAGTTTTAATGTTGTTTCTCTTTTCACCATATTCGCAAGGCCAAAAATTACGAGTCCTAACGACGTTTCGATTTGTTTTTTCATTTTGTTCGGAGTAGTCAGTGGCGCGACTATTTGTGATCCAACCGGGATCGCAAGGCCATTTATGGAAACTAAGATTTTTATTTTTCAAACATCAAGTGTCATTGCAGGCCGCAGGGTACATCTCTGATCATTCAGAGTGTCTTGAATATTCGACCAGACGTTGTTAGGATACAGCACGTTGCTGTGAATGTGGGGGAAATTGGCGAACGTTCTCACAGCCTTCTGGAGATGTTGCGGTCAAAAAGCAATTTTCGGGTCAAGAGTGTTCAATTTTTAGAAGACTATACAGGTCGAGAGATATTTTTAATGAAATATTTGATCGCAACAAAATCCAGTGGGCTGGAGTGTAAAGTCACTGAAGTGTGAAGTGTCAAATCCAAGTGTGAAGTCACAGTGTATTAAAAGCCTGTGAGGCGTGAATCATGAATTCGTGACGACAATGTTGAATGTTGAGAGTTTGAGACAGATTCTTTTTCGAGTTCTATTTTGTTTTTGTGAAAAAAAAAATTCAAAATGGCCTACGCCCTATAGAGAGAGAGACTGAGAAGAGACAGTGAGACTGACTGAGAGGGCTAAATATATACGAGTTGTGACGATGTGATGCAAATATTTACTTGCGATTTTGTATGACGTGGAACCATACGCCTGTTTGAGCTAGAACGTTCGCCAATCTACCCCACAACAACACCTCGTATCCCAACAACGCCCGGTCGAATATTCAAGCACTCTGAAGGGTTCGAGGTGTACCCTGCAGCACACTGCGATTAGACCTGATGTTTGAAAAATGAAAAGCATAGTTTCTATAAATGGCCGATCCCAATTGAATCACAAATAGTCGCGCCACTGATCACTCCGAACAAGATGAAAAGAGAAACAACCTTAGGGCTCGTAGTAGTTTGCATGGTCGTCCTCATCTTCATACTACATGACAACGAGGAGTCCAAGTCCAAATCCAAATCGACCCCCGAGGGATTTCGAGAGTGGCAGGTGGCGCAACGAAAGCAGGCAAGGCACCATATGTCTCTGGATATAAACAGACGTATACAATATCGTCATTCTGTACTGTTTTAATCAGGGCAAAAAATACAGGCTAGACACGACTCTGACACTATAGCTTTATTCGGATGCTACTATCAATACCAGAGAGTCGCTCTCGAGTTGAGAAGTTGTGACATAAATCCTCGCGAGCTGCCGATGTATGCGCTTTTAAGTACGACCGAAAACTTCTTGATTTGTATTGGTTCTAAACACCTCTAGTCATTCAGATGGCAAATCAAGTCTACCGAATGTTTACAATGGTAAATTTCAATACACATCTACAAAGGGGTTACTATAAAAGCAGAGTGGTTCCGGCGAGGGTATTGTATAGCGTATGACGTTGCTGACAATCTGATATTTCGTGCGCGGTATTATGAGACAATGTGTGCGAACTTCCAGTTATCGTACAACGAGAACTGTACCATGCCTGTACTATCGAAACCATACGGAAGGTTAGAACAGAATATCACCCTAGAACTACGGTTGGATGAGGACTCCTATTGTCGGCGCATACACGTACAACTACATGATATGTGTTGGTTAATTAAAATCATGGCTCGTATACCCTTTCTTCAAGTGGGCACATGCCAGCTTATAAAAACCTGCACTACGAGGAGATATGTTTTAAGAGTTCATATTAATTAATAATAGTAAAATCACAGCGCGTGAGAATGTAGCGCTTTTACTCGCCCCTTGATATTGTCACACCTTCGTACTATTACATAGCACTAGCGCCGACCATTAAAAAAAATGCTTAATCCAGTTCAGCTTCAGTACTTGGAGATTCCATACACTATACGGTCTACGCATACACAGCTTAAAAAATGTGTATTGTCTATGTACAAGTCTATTATGTCTTGCATGAGGAATTTCAAGACAAAACAGAAAAAATAGATCGGGGGGGGCGAGAGAGCAGTGGGGGCAGTGGGCAGTATTTAAAAAAAATAAAAAATGAAAGTGTAAATAAATAAATATTTATGAGTGAAAGTGACTGATCAGTCAGATTGTCAGTGTCACTCAGTGACTTGTCGCTGTCTGACAGTGACCAGAGATGCCCTTTTTTATTTTTAGAATATTCAATATTGGTACCAAATAAATATCAACATAACAATATTTTACTTGAGCCTTTGACAACTTGACGCCGACGGTTCTGAGTGGTTTATCTAAAAATTAATAATTGATCTGTGTTGATCTGTGTCTCCGTGACACTGATCAGTGATCTGTCTCGGTGTCTTTCTTGTTATCAGTTATCAGTTATCAGTTATCTGAGCCTTCAACGACAACCTATCAGTATCTGAGTATTTATCTGAGCCTATCAGACTACCAGTTGCTAGACGCCATTCGCCAGTCACCACTCTCTCGCCTGAGAGTCGCGCGCTCGACGGACGTCCCAGTAGGCGACTAGGCGGTAGCCTTAAAATATAAGGCTTAAGCACGGTATGCGGACGCCGGCCATTTTTAAATTTCTGAGGGGGGCCTATCGGATAGTCTTCTATATAAAAACATATATCGTCGGGAAATTTTAATATATTTTTTACTAAAAACTTTAAGGCGTATTCTGTTCCGGATGGAGTTCATCCGAGGGACGTCAGTTAAAAAAAAATGTAGTCAAGCATTTCTATATATATTTTGTTCCGATTGTATTTATGCAGTGTTTGTGTATGTATGTCTGTCTGTATGTATGTATGTATGTATGTATGTATGTATGTATGTATGTATGTATGCATGTATGTATGTATGTATGTATGTATGTATGTATGTATGTATGTATGTATGTATGTATGTATGTATGTATGTATGTATGTATGTATGTATGTATGTATGTATGTATGTATGTATGTATGTATGTATGT